GGACACGTCAAGATTTTCGCAGTTGCCAAAGAATTCTTCAGTTTGTACAATGCATCTTCACATTCTCTTGTCCACAAGAACTTCTGTTTGCTGTCTGCCAGCTTGTGAAGGAAGGTAAGTCCTTCCCAAATCTCCTATAATAGGTGCAAAGTCCCAAGAAACTTCTTAGCTGATACAAATTTTCGGGGCATCTTCAATTTTTAACTGGGGACACATTTTTTAGATTTGTACACATACCTTCGGCAGAGATGACATGTCCGAAGTAAGTAACTTCATGTCTGAACAATTTACATTTAGCAGGACTTAACTTTAGATTGGCTTCCTTCAATTTCTGAAGCACCTTCTTAATATTTGTTAAACGCTCTTCAAAACTTTTCCCGGCGAAACTTCGAAACTGCAGTGGGCGAAAGGTAGGATACACATTGTATAATCCACACGGAACCATCTTCAATTGTCAAAATTCTTATCTGGTAATAAACACCGTCTTTTCCCGGTTACCAGGGGTTCGTCAGAAATTTGTTAGATACTCGGGGGCTTACCGGTTTATTATTATGTCAGAAGAAAAAGATCATGAGGATCTTTTTCTTCGAACATCTTCTTTCTTCGAAGGGCTTCTTTCTTTCTTCGAAAGGGCTGCATCTCTGAAAAGTAATGCTTTTATGTATAGTGACACTACAAAGGTACTTTATGTTATGAATTGCTGCCATCAATTCAGATAATAAATTTAGAAAATAGTATTCTCAAATGTCCATTTTAGAAGCAGAAATCGAAGCAAAGCCTGTAGAACTGACCAATCACTGAGGAGTTCCTTGAACTATGGGGTTGAGCGTGAGCCACCTCCAGTTTGATGAATGTCAGACAAAGACTCACTGAATATGGCTGGGATATGCTGTGTCAGTCCCCATATTCACTAGACCTTGCCTCCTCAGATTTTCATCTCTTCAGACCAATTCAAAATTCCCCGAATGGCCTGGAATTCACTTCTTTGGAGATCGCCAAACAGCAGCTTGATAATTTCGTCATGAATGAACCTATAATATTTAGATATTTAAAAAAAGTGATTTTCCAGCTGCCAGAGAGATAGCAAAATAATGCTTATGTGATTCAATGAAATTTTCTTATGTTTTCGTACTGCTTCATTTCTATTTCACATTTTTAAAAAATGCAGAAATTTTTATATGACCTGATATATATCATGTATTATTCAGTACATTAAGTTTTGAACTTGGGAATGCTTTCAGTTAAAAATAATATACTGATGTTTATGAAAATTGCAACACTGAAGAAATCAACTGAACAGTCATGTGAGGCATATAAACAAAAGCTTGTTCATTATCTGGATGCTTTATTTCAACAGTCACTACGTTAAAACTGTCAACATGAAAGAGCTCCACATAAACAAATAATAGATTACCAATAAATTCAAATTATCAGCCTAGTTGAAGAAGGATTTTCACACCTTAACATTATTGCTCATATAGGATATGATGTCTTGACAATGATGGAAAAAATGTAGCAGAATCCACAGGCATCTCGTCCACATGACAGTGAAGAATTGCACGGCTTGTTCTCAGATGCTAGAACAGTACTATAGCACTGCTGCAGGTGTGGCATTATTTATTTCCTGAATCCTATAGAATCTGTTGTATAAAAGACTGTACCTAAATATTTCTTTGTAGAGGATTTCCTTAACCATGAACCATTAATGACTCAGGTTACAATGGTACAAGAACATAGACAGTGGTGTGCAAATTATTTACTGACTGATTCTTAATTTAATCTGAACTAGAATATGGTTATATGTCCATAATATTTCTGTAATACCTGAACATCTTCCAACATACATTCTAGAATGCTACACTAAATGAATCAGAAATGTGAGAGAAAGGGCTGCGAGTGGTTAATTAGGCATCTTGATTGTTATAAATTGCATTGTATGTCAATATAAGAATTGCCTCTCAACAACCATATTATCATGGAAATTGTAGAAGCTAAACTCATACATTTTCTTAAGGGCTCTTTGGCGCTATCTCTACATATAATAAAAGAAAGAATCTGTGTGTGTGTCTTTCGTTCATGCTGCGCATAAGCTAATAGACCAACAGCTACGAAATTTGGTACATAGGTGCATCTAGACAAGAGCCAGTGCACCTCGAAGCGATTTTTTCGAAATTCGAATTTTTTTTATTTTATGTTTTGTGAAGAAATCACGTCGTTTTGAGACATAATGGGCTATAGGAAATCAAGATTTTACTCTACACACTCCATTTTCACATTGTCATGAAACGTAGCCACTTAGCTATTTTACGAACTTAAAATAAATTTCGTGTTTCAATAAATCGATTAAATACGAATTTATTTAACAAAGGGAGCTTAACACATTTTCAACGGGTTTTTTTCTAAAAAGTTTATTTTTAAAAATGTACAGTTTATTTTTCTTCGATTTTTGGACATGTTAAACATTCATCCTTGCGACTGCTTTTACAAAAGGAAATTTGGAAAAATGATAATATTTTGTATTTTTAAAAAAAAATTTAAATGAAGCTTCCGAGTATACTTCTCACATCTTTAAAAATGTGATTTTGGCAATAATTTTCCTGTCTTATTGTTGTTGATAGATTTTTGATGAAATCACATCATTTTGAATAGTTTCATTCTTTTAGAAATAGGGGTTTGGCAACAATGTTTCATACTATTCTTTATGTCACTGTTTTTAAGAGATTGGCATATTTCGTTGTCATTTTTAGATATATATAATACATTTTTATTGTTTTTTTTTTTTTTTTTTTTTTTTTTTTTTTTTTTTTTTGATAAAGTTGTTCTGCAGAGTAAAATTCTGCACGGAATTTATGTTTTTTGAGTTGCTTTCATGCTATTTTTTTGCTTATTTCACTGTTTGTAAGATATTGAAAAGTTTTGCATGATTTTTTTTTCAACGGAAAATTGGTTAATTTTTTAATTAGGATAATTAATATTTGTATTAAGGGATAGCTTATTCCATTGTAATTTTTTTCGCTTGAAAATATAAGATAAAATATTAATTATACTTTGCTTTTCAGAATTTTTTGCATTCCTTTATATTATTTATTGCTCATTTCACTGTCTTTAAGATACTGAAAAGTTTTGAGTGATTTTTTTAGGAAACAAAGTTCTTAACCTTCTTTATACCATTTGAATTCTTAAGATTTTGAAAAGGGAAGTTGGTTAATTTATGTATTAGGATAATTAATATTTGTATTAAGGGATATTGCTTATTTCATTGTAATTTTGTTATATGTAATAACTTTTTTTTGTGTGAAGTTGTTCTGCAGAGTAAAATTCTATGCAGTTTTTAAATTTAACGTTTGGTTACCCTTCAGCCATTTTTCCGGTACTTAAAAGCCAGACAAAGGCTGGCAGTGAAGCCACTAGTTATTAAATTAAATCATGCTTGTATTGTCTAGGTCCTTAGTATAGTTATTTCACGGTAGATCTAAAAGCGAAATTAATTATTTGAAATTCATTCACATACTAGTAATAATCTGAAGTTTGGAAGTTATTGACTGAAGCAACATGCCGAAAAATATAAATTTATTATACTCTTTCAAAAAGTGTAAACACATGTAGAAGGGAAAGTACTTTTGTCAAATATTTTACAGTAACTTAACAAGTTACTGCATAATACTTTTAATATGCTTCAGAGAATCAAATATATAAATTGTCATTCCATAAAAATTCTTACCCGGCCTTCATTTCTGCAACCATTGGTCCATATGTACTCCCAGTTACAAAAATGTTTTAAATGACACAAAAATTCATGCTTTTATATTTTTTTATTTAAAAAAAATTGTATCGAATATGAAATAACTTTTTGCATGTTTCTGCAAACCTTATACCAATATTTAAAAATATACTGTTTTCATTATACAAAATAAAACACAAAAAGTTTTACACTTGCAAAATAAAAGCTGTAACGAGATATTTAATTTCAAAATTTGCTTTGAGGGGGTCAGTCATAAATTTCAATAATTGGAGGTGTTTTTTTCCCCCTCTTTAAATGTCATTCAATGACTTAGTAGTGTCTTTGTTAATAATTTTGTTACATCTCATATGCCAAACGAATTTTTACACAATTTTTAAGTTTCCAAAGTCAAAAAATATATTATTAATATTTTAATAAATTTTTATTACTTTAGAATCATCTGGTACTAATAAAAAATTTCATTAAAGTGCAAATATTTTTCATTTTTAGTTAATGCAAATAATATTAAGAATTGGTTACATGCAACTGCCACAGTTTTCTAGAACATGAATTGTATAAGATTCTATCAATAAGATATAAATTTTGAAAAATTTTATACTGATCAATATTTTTCAAAATAAACTGCACAGAAATGCTCATCACACAGTTTCTTGACATAAGAAGTCTTTTTCCACAAAATATTTTATTTTTAGTTACATACAAACACAAATATTTCGCTCTTCAATTTCTGCACAAAGCCTGAATATTATTCCTGATTTTAATATGAAATACCTCAGTCAAAATTTGTCATACAGAAGTCAAAGATTTTGTATTTTAGTTTTTTTAACAAGTACAAAATTTCCCTTAACATAAGTATAGGGACCGCAGGAGGATGTAAAAAACTGTATTTTGCATTTTATATAATTTTTTTTAAATATAAAAATACAAAAACATGAATCTTTTTTGTCCTTCAAAATATTTTTATATTTGGAACTCTATGACCAACAGCAGTGAAAATGGAGACAAGGTATATGATACAACATATTAAGTTTTTAATATTTTATATTATTTTGAGGATTAACATATTAAAAACATATTAAGTTTGTAGTAGTTAAGAGCTCTGTAAATGAAAGTATGAACTAATAAAAAATACTGCGATCTTTTAGAAGGTATTCAGTATTTCAATATTATGCATATATTCCACGTGTTGATTCCTAGCACAATACAGTTACCAGAGCGTTTTCTATTTTGAAAACAATTTACAAAAAGAAACACAGAATGTCAGAATAATATAAATATTTTATTTCTTATACATATAAATTTAAATGATTACAAACATTTTACTTCTTTGCACATATATATTACAGAAATGCTCATTTAAAAAATACAAATGTCTTGAAAACAACACATGACTATGTCAGTTAAATATATTTACAAGTAGAAACTAAACATAAAAACTCATCACAATTATGCAAATTATCCAGACTTCTCTGAGTGATGTCACTGGAACTATCTAAGTTTGTGCATTTCTCATATAACTGCAGAAATAATAACTTCTCTTATATCTTATTTATAGAAACAGTTGATGGTCCTTCACACCAAGCACTGCTGATTTGTTAAGTACTTTGATTTTTCATTTTTCAAGTAACCTCCTTTTATATGCAGTATTAATTAAAATGAATGACTATTTTCATAGCATTTGTTTAGTTTCCCTTAAAAAAAGTTTCTTTTCCTCAGTAATTTGCTTTTTTCTCAATTAACTTTTATGGATTTGTTACACTGAACTACTTTGCATGCTAATCATTCCATATGCTATTGTGACTGATTATTCAGTTGTACAGATCTGAATTATTAAACTGGACCATCTCTAAGACTGAAACTTTTATGAAGATTAATATGGCAATTCTAGAGATTAATATGTTTGCACAATAATTGTAAATTAGACAACTAATTCATATAGATATATAATCTTTAGCATTTAAGTATCTGACCATTACGTATCATAAATAACAAAATAAGGAATGAATATTTTGTGACTTATTTTTTATTGTTGTTACCAAAATCTTAATCACCTGGCAATGGTTTGCCAAATATTATTGAATACAGGTATTCATTTATTAAATAAAAATAATTAAATTATTTTTATTGTGATATTACAAACACATAATTAACAATATATAGCCAATAGATGTATAAAGGTTAAGAACCACCTTAGGACTACATACTAAAGAAGAATTTAGGAAACAATTTTCAGATGTGAAGGAACCACAGTAAAATTGCAGATAATTTAAAGAAAAGAGGTAACAGGAAACAAGTATTCTATGTGACTACATGACAAAAAATTAAACCAATCAATTAAAATAAAAGGAAACCAGCAAGCAATGAACAACTTGACTGCATATATGAAAAATATCTTCATAAAGAGAAAATCTTGATATTATCATTTCATTGAGCCAACCGAAGTAGAATGAAATACTCACATGAAAAAAAAAGGGGATTGAAATAATGTAATAAATACTTTTTTACTTTTATTTTATTTACTTTGCATAACAGCATTTTTTAACAAATGTTCATTGAAAAGCATAAAAGCAAACTATAAAATGTTAAAATATTCTGTTCAAATTCTTAGGACCTAAACTAATGCTCTTTTCTTTAGAAATGGTTTTCTTAACTATGCATAAACAGGAAAAAAAAAAAAAAAGTAAATACACTATCTTAATAATTTGTATCATAGCATTTCCAAAGCTTTTTCTAAGGAGTAAAAATGATAATCTGTGGGGTGGGGGACAGACTTCTTTCAATAACATTTTATATTTTGCATAAATTTAGCAATAAAAACAAATGTGTTTCTTTTCTCATTAATAATCAGAAAAATAATCTTCTACTTTAAATAAACACCATTATTTATTTTAAACTTCAATGAGAAATACAATTTTTACCTCACAATGCCTCTTCACCTTTTTCTCAACTTTAAGCTTTGGTTGATAAACACTGCAAGTTTTGTAAGGTGCTGCTATAATTTACACAAGCATACAATTTTTATGCCTGTACTTCCATGTACTATATAGCCACAATATATCTAAATTACACCAAACCTTGTTATTAGGAAAGTGAGAATATGCAAATAGTTCCTTTCCTAATTCATAGCACAGAACACTATCACAATTCTCTTAATTGAAATTAAACCACTTTAATTACTTTGGGCACTTTTAAAATTATCTACGTATTCAAAAGCTTCATAAATATTGCTGAAAAATTGGAGTTTGAAGTTCTTAACAAATGTGGAAAAAACTACAAAGCATCTGATTTAGACAATGTGGTTAAAAATCATAATTATGAATTGCTAACTGTCATTTAGATTCAGCTGATTAGATGCAATGTCAGAAACATCTACATGAAAATTATTTTTTCTTAATAAATCTTTCAATGTATTACTTTTAATATATTGACAAGAAGTCTATTTCTTAAATCAATCCAACTGTACATCATCAAATAATTTTTTTTTAATTCTGCAAAGCGTATATACAAATCTTATATATTTATATACACATTTAGTCATCATAATACAATTTACAGGTATATCAAAAGCCATTTTTGAAAATTAAAACATTCATTTAACATCCTATTTGGAGCTTTTTGCTAATATTAACAAACAATATTACATATTTCAAAGAACCAAGGGATGGCAAAAATAAGAAACTTGATAACGATTACCATCTTTTGCTCACAGAGCATCTTTTAATGTTTTTTTTCAACAATAAAACAACCTCAATGCAAATTATAAAAAAAGAAAATTAACTAGATGCATTCAAATTAAACTTATTGGATCTATAATATTTATAAGAGCTTGATTTACCTCACAGGCAAAACATTTACAGCAATTATAAGAAAATAATATGTAATTTTTTTTTAAATGATAAAAGAAGATAGTTGTAAAGAAAATAGGAAAAGATATATAACATTTGGTCTTTAAATGTATGTTTTTCTTTGCATATGCTCAATACATTTAATCTCATACTTTCACCTCCCCCCCCTTTTTTTTTAATTCTTCTAGAATAATATATGTTATGTGACATAATAATAAGCAATTTCTATTATCAAATAAAAGAAATCTGACATTTTCTTTAGTTTAAAGCAACCTATGGTGAAACCCAAATTTTTAAACACATACATACCACATTATTACATATTTTATTACAATCTGTTAAGATTAATAAGGATGCAGGGAAAACTTCATTCTTCAAAATTTTCTTGAATTGCAAAGAATTGAGTTCAACATCCTCAAACGGTTATATTTTTAATTCCTGAATCAGTTTGGAAATACTATCATATATAATATTATGAAAATTTAACTTAAATCTAACAAAACACTAAAAAATAATAATAAATCCATGAATCTTACTATACACTTATAAAACATCCTCTTAATTTTACTATAACTCTTTTAACATGTAATATAAAATTCTTCAAACTTTTTACAAAATAAATGTTGGATCTATTAAGGAATACAATATACATATTTAAAAACACTTCAATCACAGAAACAAACAATTTGTAATAAACAGAATTTTACTATTAGACATTCGATGTGTGTTATTATTTCCTAAAACAAAATAATGTTGACTGAAGGACAGAAATTTATACTTCAAATAGTTCATATGTTTGCATTTGGTGCATGTTAAAAGTGATTTATGAATTATAAAAATAGAAGTACCTCTTTGATAAAAGTCAAAATGACAATGTAATATATATACATATTAAGAAGACTGAAGGAGTTGTTCTGGTGAAGGTAAATCAGAACTGCTATCACTCTCCTCATTAATAACAACTGGTTGCTTAGTTTCTTTTGTATGTTTTAACTTTTCACTTAATGCACTTTTTAAATCCTTAACAACAACTGGTTGCATAGCTTCATTTGAGTGTGTTAGTTTTTCACTTAATGCACTTTTATAATTCTGCATATTATCTCTTTTTAAATCAGATGAACATTTTAAGTCTCCAGAATTACAGTCAGGCTCAGTAGATGCATCAGAACTGATATACACCATTTCGTTGCAAACTATTCCCTGCTTTTTGAGACTGGGAAATTCATCACTGCCTGAAATTTTTTTTTGTTTTAGTTAAGAAATATGGAAAATAATATCCAGATAATTTTGTTAATTATTTTAATTAATAATAAAATTAATACTAACCAGAAGAATTGGGATCAGTATCAGGTAAATCAGTTGACTTGATTAACTCCATTGTTTCTTGATTATTATATTCAAATCCTTCGGATAATCTGACCTATTTTAAAAAAGAATTTGAGTTAAAAGCAATTATATATTTATTAAAAAATTATACAATAAATATACTTCTAATAAATTTAAAATTATGGAGAAAGGACAAATGGTGTACCTCTGCAGGCATTTTTTGTAGATCAGTACCAACATCTACCTTTTTAATATTCGAATCAGAAATAACAGTCTCTATCTTTTTTGATACATCTGTTTCTTTTTCTGAATGTTCATCATCAGATTCCAATTCTGAAGCCTCAGGTTGTTTTTCAGCATATTTATCAATTATCTGTTGGATGAGAGAGAAACAAAATTATTTCATTCTTATCATAAATAAACAATCAGTTTAAAAAAATGAATCAATTTAAAGCATTTACAAAATTTGCCCAGCACATGCCTTAGAACTATCATTAATTGAAGCTCTAATTTTATGATACAGCCAAATTCCTCTATAATGATCTCCCGTTCGCAATATAATATGTGAACCTTTTGGCTCTACCCAGTTTCCGATTGACTTAGTCCTATTTTATGAATGAACCGCCAAGAGCCAAAAAAAAACTGGATATAATGAACTGTATGGATGCCCTCAATTGAAATGGTTTTTGAACTTTTTACATTTTTCTAAGAATTTCTGCACGTTTAAAAAAAAAGAACTAATTGTTAGAATTATCCACATTCCATCCATACAGAAAAACAACTTCGTGTTATTTTTCTTTTATTCTCATCCCACTTTTCTCTGTGTTCTAAGCAAAGACTGCAAGACAGTCTAGAAGAACAAGAATAAAATAAACACATCTTAGGACACTATATGGTGTAAAACCAAAAACGTATTCAAATTCTTTGTCTCCAGACAGAACTCTATACAAGGCTGATTTGTGTGTGTGTGTGTTTTTTTTTTCCTTTTCTTTGTGTATGATTTCATTGTATTATTGAAAATTAATGTTATTACTTACACTTTTGGCTTTTTTTACTTACGATTTGTAAGTCTTGTGTGATACTTTGTGGTGCACGAGAATTTCTTTTCTTTTTCTTTTCTTTCTTTTTTAAAAAAAAAGAGCCTGATTTTCTGATGGAAATTTTGAAATTTTCACCTTTCAAAAAAAAGAGAACGTCATGAAGCTTACAAGCTTGCAATTTTACAATTTGTTCTTTTTTTAGGGAATGACAGACTTTTTAATCTTTTGTTTGAGTATAAATGCTCTCAATATTCTTTCTCCAAATAGGAATTTTGCATTCTGTAGATCTTTTGCTACACATTCCCCCCAATAAATGTTACTGAAGCTTTGGTCTCCAACCATACATATGCAAACTACTTTAACTACTTTAGGAACTTTTAAAATTACTTATTATTTAGTATTCAGAAGTTTCACAAATATTACTGAAAAATGGGAGTTCTTCAAAGATGTTCACTGAAAAGTTCTTCACAGATGTGTGTGTGTGGGGGGAAACTATAAAGCATCTGATTTAGATAATGTGTCAGAGATCACATTATGAACTGTTATTTAGATTTAGATGATTAGTTGCAATGTCAGAAACCTCTACATGAAAATTCTTTATTCTCATTAAAGCTTTCAATGTATTAGTTATAATATATTGGCAAGAAGTATATTTCTTATCTAAAAATTTGCATATAAGTTGAGAAAGATGAAACAAACAGGACTGAAGAATCACTGCTGAAACAGTTTGCCATTTAGAGAAACCATATCAGCCAATATCTGGACAAATGTCAATGCTTTTGCCAAAAGATTAGAAAAGAAAGAATAACAAATTTAAAACCAGTGCATAATAATAATTATTGCAATTTAATCTTAATATGATTTTTTAATTAAGATTTATTTACACTTCTTTTGGTAGCTATGACAATGTTTATCAGTTTTTTCTTCATTCATCATTTAGTTTTTTGTATACTTTTGTAAGATAATCTGGCTTTCTATCAGATTGGCTATAGCAAACTAAACTTCAGGTCCCTTAAAAGTTTGTTATAGTGGGGTTCACTGTAGTTTTAATACAGTTGGAAATTTTAAATGCACCTGTGAAAACTTTCCATTTAAGGATTTTCTCCTTCTCCTCCTCCTCATTCAAAAAACTGGAAAATGGCCACTGTTGTAAAGACCATTCCAAAGAATGTTGTAAAGAAGAAATGATGGAAATGTTGTAAAGAAGAAAGATGATGAAACAATAGCAATACTGATAGCATGAAAAGTCCTTATAGGCTGATGGAAGTACGTATTTTATTCACACTGAGAAGACCAATGATCTTCAATCATTTGCTTGATTTGTCTACTTTAAGGATTTGTATCCTTACTTTCTCAAAACTGTCTTTTTAGCATGAACATTAGCTGCTAAAGAGTCTTGTATTATTAGAAGGTTCTAGCAGCTGCTACACAAGATTATCTGAATCTTGTGGATCAATCTGCATATTGGAAGACAGGTAAATAGAATAAACTGAAAGTAAGATACCTGATTTTTATCTGGACAGCAATAGCTTGGACGTTTATTGTTAAAAGATGCAAACTGGAAGTATAATCAAGTGAGGTAAGAACACCAATGTCCCCACTGACATACTTGCCACAAGTAATATCTTTCCACATAAAACGGAACCTCTGAAATTTAAGACACTGTTGACGTTTCAGTAGAGTTTCTTGCATTGCCAAGCACACACAGTTATAGATATTGAGCCAACCTTTCACATGAGATTTTGGTGAAAGCTTCGGTAGTTCCGTGAAATGAGGGTGTTTATTTTTTTAGAGCTGTTTTTAGTTTTACGTGGCAGTGAATGCTTCGAAATAACTAGCTCCTCTTCCACGTCCATTTCAAAATCTAGATACTCTGAGATAATACTCTAAAAAGAAGCTTGTATTTTGATAATTTGAAGATTTTAGAATAGTCAATAGTCTTATTTCGGTTCTATTTTCTGTTTTCATTTTCTTTATTTCTTTGTTATTTGGTGGCTTTTCTACGTTTTTTGCATTACTTTTGGTAGCCAATTTTGGATTGCCTGACTCTTTTGAATTTAAAATTGAGTACCTACTGAAATTAACAATTACTAAACTTTACTAATTTTGTTGCATTGGCATAAGATAAATTTTTGTGTGGCTATATATCTCTACTAATTTTCTTGTTTCTGCAAATGTGATAGTTTTAGTTATGTTTATTGCTTGTACTTTCTTTTCAGATTTCCACTTTATTCATAGCTGGGAAAGAGCTGAGTGCTCCCCTTTGCGGCACCCACATAGTGCACTGGTGATGCAATTATCACTGTTGTGGTACTCAACAGAGCAATAATCACATGTAAGTTTGCTATGGCAGGACATTTCCAAATCCCCAAAAAACTAGCACTGCAAGCATCGCAAAGGGTATGGTCTGGCAGGGCAGTACAAATACCCACCCATAATACTTTTCAACAGATCAGGCAAACTGAAGATCAGGTTCACATGCTTTGTATTGATTAATTGGCTTCTTTATGCACCTTGATATTCATAGACATTCTAGTCATACAATTCAAAGACTATTTCCTCTCCCAATATGAAGAGAGGAAGCCAATCTCGAAGATACAATACGACAAAAATTTAAGTGTTTTAAATGCTGATACTTTAATGTCAACTTACCAAAACATTTCTGGTATCAGGAGTATAACAGAAATGGTTTTAGAGAAGGTTTTCCAAATACATCTGTTTGGTGGTCCTTTGATTAATCTTGTAGAAGACTATATAGGGTTAGTCAAAATGAATGTCCCAATTTCATAGGTGTACTATGCAAAATGTAATAAATGTATTCGTTAAAACAGGGTTTGTACACATTTCTGCACATGGAAATTAAGTACTTTTAACCCCTTACTCATCGTGCCCATGTCTCATACAGGCAACGAATACGAATAAATTTTCTCACGTCCGTGTCTCACATGGGATCTGCTTTTGCAATAAGAAGGTCAAAGAATACCAATTTTTATCGTGCCCGTATCAATTCTATTTACACAGATGGCAGCACAATACTTGTAAGTTGATTAGATAACAGTAGTATGTAAATTCAGACTATTTTTTCCGTTAGAACATATTTTGAAAGGATGCAGTTTCAGTGCTCATCGCTTTTTCGTGTTTAATGTTTGTAAAATGAGAATTCAAGTGAACAAGAGGATTTAAGTCTTGAAGAATCGGGAAGTGATTCAGAAGGAAGCTTTTTTTCAGATGCTTTTGATTCTGAAGTATTGGATTTTGAAGATAGTGACGATCCAGCACATTTTTTACCAGGGCTCCAATGGAACCAAATTATGTCGGATGTCCCAGATATTTGTCATCCACGTTTTCAGTTCATATTGTTGTCTGAAGTGAATATTTCATTTCAAACCAGTGCAGTGATTTTACAATATTATGAACACTTTATAAATGATGAAATAGTGGATGTAATTGTAAAAGGAACTAATCGTTATGCTGAGCAATCAGGTAATATTGTTGGGAAAAGAAAACTGAAAGGCAGAATAAAATGGAAACCCGTATCGGCACGTGAAATCTATTTGCTCCTTGCACTTTCAGTTTTACAAGGTATTGTAAAAAAATCTGAAGAAAGCATGTATTGGACTAAGAAAACATCAGTAGAAACTCCTCTTTTGCATAAGATAATGTCATATAATCGATACTGTGAAATCAAAAAATACTTGCATTTTGTGAACAATGATTTATGATCCAGAAAATCATCCTAACCAGAAACTCTACAAAATTTGGCCTATCTGTGAGCATTTGAATAAAGTATATCAAAAAACAATTACTCCAGAAAGAGATATTACCATAGATGAAACCTGATGTCACACAAAGGACATTTATCATGGCGCTAATACATACCCTTGAAAAAAGCAAAATTTGTTATCAAAACATACATGCTAAGCGAATCTAGTTTTGGTTATATATGGTTATTTATCATATATACCGAGAAAGGTACTTTGTTTCATCCTAAATTTCGATCTCTCTTGGTACCTTCAACAAAGTTGTTATGACTCTGATGATGCCATTATTGAAACAACGTTACTGCATCACCTTAGATAATTATTATACTTCACCAGAATTATATATCCTTTTGACTTATCAAACAGATGTGGTTGGAACTGTTAGACAAAACAAAAAAGATTTACCTTTAGCTTTGAAAAATAAAAAATTAAAAACTGGCGAAGTTATATCATTTAGATGCAGCAAAATCCTCGCTCTCAAATGTAAAAGCAAAAAGGAAGTAACTATGTTATCATCTTTTCATCATTCTGACACTGTCGAAGTAAAGACCAAAAGTAAAAAACTGAAAATA